CGTCTGTTGAAACAACAACATGGCTGGACGCCTGTCCTAGAGGCACACCGGCCTGTAGGAACGAGGGGTCGTTCCAAGGGCTGAGGGCGCGGCGACACAGCGCAGTAACCGAGACCCGGTGTGTGCCCGCGTGCCATGCGCGTCTGGGGACCCGATCGTGAAGCCAGTGCTGAAGTGGTCTCATATGGAGCAACCCGAGCGGCGTGACGGCGGCTGCGGATGCCATATGCCCCAGGAGCCTCTGAAAGAACTTCAGTGGGACCACTAGTTTGCTGTCGAGCTCCCTCAGACAGTTCAGCAACAGGCGAGCGCGTTCCTCGGAGAGGTGCGCTACCATGGTGATCGAGTCCAGCTCCATCCCGAGAAAAGAAATCCTCTGCACGGGGGCGAGTTTGCTCTTTTCTCGGTTGACCTGAAGCCCCAGTAGGCGGAGATGCCGAAGCACCTCGTCCCTGTGCATAATCAATTGCTCCCACGAGTGGGCTAAAATCAGCCAGTCGTCGAGATAATTGAGTATGCGAATGCCCGCGAGCCGAAGGGGCGCTAGGGCACCCTCCGCGAGTTTGGTGAAGACCCGCGGAGACAGAGAGAGCCCGAAGGGGAGGACCTTGTACTGCCACGCTCGACCCTCGAACGCAAACCGCAGAAATTGGCGGTGGCGTGGAAGAATGGAGACATGGAAATACGCGTCCTTCAGGTCTATGGCTGCAAACCAATCCCGAGGACGAACGCATTGGAGAATGCGCCTCTGCGTGAGCATTCTGAACGGCAGCTTGTGCAGACAGCGGTTCAAAACGCGCAGATCTAGGATTGGCCGTGACCCACCGCTCTTTTTGGGTACGATGAAGTATGGGCTGTAAAACCCACTCTCCATCTCGGCTGGAGGAACCGGCTCGATTGCACCCTTCGCCAGGAGGGCAGCAATCTCCTCTCGCAAGACAGGGGCGGACAGGGGGTTGACCCTGGAGAAATACACGCCCGTAAACTTGGGGGGCCGTTTCGCGAACTGAATCGCGTAACCGAGTCTGATTGTGCGTATGAGCCACCGCGAGGGGCTGGCCCGCGCTAACCAGGCAGGCAGAGCCCTCGCTAATGGAGTCATCGCTACAATCGCTGACGTACCAGCGGTGGGGCAGCGCGGAGTGGGTGTGCTGATCCGGGAAGCACGAGGGTCCCGCGGAAAAGCTGGAGGAGAGCGATTCGCTCTGGCTCCGCACCCTGACTCCGGAGAGGGGGCTGGAGGGCTGAGGGAAGGGAGACCGTCCCCCCAGCGCTCGTGAGCCACTGGCGAAGCACGTAGAGTCTGCGAGCCGGAAGGCAGCGCGTCCCGGACTGGCAGAACTCGTGCAGTCACATCCGGGGAAGGGAAAAAGTGCTCTTTTACTGATGTTTTGGTGGCACTGAAAAGTACCGTTGTTATCGGGGCCCCGCCCTCCAGCGGGGAAAGAGCAAGTTTCCTCTTCTCCGGATGGCCTGTCTCAGGGACGCTTCGCGGTCCGTTTACCGGACTTAACGGCGCCCTGGGCAGGAGGGGCTGCCTGCTTTCGAGGTGAACGCCGCGCCCGCTTGGCCGGAGGCGCAGGCGGGGGCGGGGCAGCACTCGTTGGCGGGCGCCCTCGGCGAGGAACAGCGGAGGTGGATGGCTCGGCGGGCGGAGCGGGCTTACGGCCACGCCGATAGATGACATTGCCCATCGCATCCGACTGCTCTTTCACCGCCTTGAATTCCTGGGTGAATTCACCGACGGTGTCGCCGAACAGGCCAGCCTGGGATATGGGCGAGTCAAGAAAGCGAACTTTGTCAACGTCGCGCATATCGGCCAGGTTTAGCCAGAGGTGGCGTTCCTGAACCACAAGTGTGGACATCGTCCTCCCCAGCGCACACGCGGCGGACTTAGTAGTCCGAAGAGCATAGTCGGTCGCGGTGCGCAGCTCATGTAATAAGCTTGGGTTGGACCCGCCCTCGTGCAGCTCGGCCAGCGCCTGCGCTTGGTAGCGCTGGTAGGTGGCCATCGCGTGCAAAGCAGAAGCAGCCTGGCCCGCAGCCTTATAAGCTCTGGCTCCGAGGGAGGCAGACAACCTACAGGCTTTGGACGGGAGGCGGGGCAAACCCCGCCACGTAGAGGCGCCGCGCGGACAAAGATTGACCGCGATAGCGCGCTCCACTGACGGGATCGCCTCATACCCCCTGGCAGCTCCGCCGTCAAGGGCGGTGAGGGCGGAGGCACTCGCAGCACGGGCAGAGAAAGGTGCCCTCCAGGACTGCGTGAGCCTACTGTGCACTTCCGGGAAGAAGGGGACGAGAGGCTTCGAAGGCTTCGCCTTCTGGTCCTCTACGTAGCACCCATCTAGTCGGTCCGGCCGCGGAGCTGGGGGATAAACCATCTCCAACCCCACGGCCGAAGCAGCCCGGGAAAGCACGGCTAACATGTCCGCTTCAGGATCCGATTTGACAGCGCTCACCTGCCCGGAGGGGGCGAGCGGGTCCGGATCTTCGTCGGACAGTGAAAGCCCACCCTCCGATGCCGCGGAGGACATCTGATCTCCGGTGTCAGCGAGTGTGAGAGCTACCATCTGGTTAGACGGATCACTCTCACCACCCGAAGCTTGGATGGAGCGCCGTGAGGAGCGAGAGGTCCGCGAGCCCGTGGGCGGCGGATTAGCTCCCGCTGAAACCCTCAGATCTGCCCGAGCGCCCGCTGCTTTTTTAGAACAGGAGGCAACTGGGGTGGCTCGCTCTCTTGCGAAAGTTAGCCGCGATCTTAGCTGTGCAACGGTCATGGCATCGCAATGACGACATGAACCGCCCGCGAGCACCGCATTAACATGCTGGACCCCCAAACATGCAATGCAGTGATCGTGTCCATCATCCGGAGACAGGAAACCCCCGCATCCAGAAACGCACAGTCGGAGCGCCATCCTGAAAAGGACGTGCTGCACGACTGTGTTGCTCTTTTAGGAAAGTTGCAACTATACGCACCGCTCTGGAGGACCGGACCCAAAGAACCGCAGGCAAGGGAGTAACCCAGCTCGACCGTCTGCCACCGCGAAGACCCACTCTGGACCGGGAGACACACTCGTTCGCTCTGAAGTGCTGATCAGCAAGAGGAACCCTCATCGACTCACTCAGAAAGGATCTGAAGCGAAAAGGATGGCGTCTGCTGGCTTCAGGTGTGCTTATATGCTGAGATGATTGCAGATGTCGCACACCTGCGCAAGCTTACGCTGCCAATTAATTTCATTCATTGGCCCGTTCAATACTCTCCAGATAAGCGGCTTCTGATCCGAATCCTCCCCATTCATGGCACTGAAGTTCCCCAACCGAAGGGGAACCCTATTTATATTTAAGCATTAAATTAAAAACATTGATGCAAAGCTTGAAGGTAGTATGTTTGTAAGTTTTGTATATCGTTTTGATGTTTCAGTGACAGTCAGAGTTATGTGGACTAATTAATCCACATTTAGGGGGAAGACCTTATGCAAAAGGGCTCAAAGACACACTTAAAAACCAATTGCACTGTAAAACCCAAAAAGTTAAGGTAACTCAAACTATTTGAGGAAACCGATCGCAACAAACCATTTAAGTTCAAAAACTAATTCTAATGAGTACTGTGAACTTAATCTATTTGAGAAAACAAAGCAATTTGAGCACAGTAAAACCCGATAAAAAAAGAGAACTCAAACCAACTGAGATTTGTAAAACCCAATAAGTTAAGGCAACTCAAACCGTTTGAGGAAACTAATCGCAACAAACCATTTGAGTTAACAAAACTAATCTATATGAGTACAGTGAACTTACTCGATTTAAGTTAAAGTAATGAGGAATTTAATTAATTCATTACCTTCAATTCAAGAGTTCAAAACTCTTTTCAAATGAGTAGAATTAACTTTCAGTAAATTTTGAGGTGACTACACTCATTACATTTGATAAAGTTGACTGTTGGATTTTACAGTGTTGGATTTGTTAAGGCAAAACCAATTTCCGACTTACATTTGTTTTTGCCTTAATTTCCTAAATCTACAGAAATAATTTTAATCTACAGTAGAAATGTGCCTGATAAAATCCAAACCAGGTTCTGGCACTTATTTATCAATTTATATATAGAGTATACAGTTTAATCAGAGTTCTTGGTCTGTTCTTCATCTGCTGGAAGATGTGTTATGCAACTGGAAACTTGTTGCTGGATTTTTACTGTTCATTAACCAGCAATCTGGAACACTGCCCCAACGTGTGTGTAAAATGCAGAATGAAAGTGTTAATGTTTATTGAGAAGGATATTAATAAAGTTATTTCTTTCCGGTCTTAGTTTTTCAAGTGCATAACAGTGTAATATTAAAAGACTTATCTCTCAGAAGTTTTTTTATTGAAACACAAATCCTTGCAGAATCTTCCCGCTGGATAAAAGCAAACTGAAACATTTCGGAAGCCAAAAGTACTCAGACCAGCAATCCTAATTGTGTTTTCTACTCATCTATTTTAGTCTGTTGGTATTTAGATTACATGTTTTGCTGGATTGTGACATGTACCAATAGTTTGAGTGCCAGTTACTATCATCAGTATGGATTGTACTGTACATTATGTGAACTGCACACTTGGCAAGTCATTCTCTTACAAGCATTAACAGCCAAATCGCAAATCATTCACTGCTTGTCGACATCTGATCATCTGAGGGTATGGACACACGCACACGCACAAGCACACACACAATTGTATAGCTATTACTGTGGGAATTTTGATAAAATACTGTTTTTATAGGGTACAAACAGTACAGAACATTTCAATGTGGTCATGTCATTGGCCCATGAACATTTCCTGCTTGTTATCAATCATAACTTAATGTTAAAACAGCTATCATAACATTATGTATCAATATGTGACTCTTTTTGCATTCTCAGAAGCTATGGAAATTAAAAATCTAAAACAAGAAATACATTGGGACCATTGTTTTTCTTTACATTCCTCAAAATGGTCCATTTTACATCGCCTTACCGCAACCATACCCCAAAACACTTACCATTTTTCCAAAATGCTCCATTTGGTCCTCATAATGCATAGAATGCCAAGCACATGTACACACATTAAACAAAGACATACAATCACAGCAGTTTATTAATGACCAAAGTACAACCTGCCTCTGTCTTCTAGTCGTCAACCTTTGACATCCTATAAAACTCACTACATAAACCCAGGGTTTTGTAGAGGAAGGCTGAGGACATTCTGTGCATCAACGAAAACAACATGAAGTTTGAAGATCTAATTACGGAGATCAATGGCTTCGGCAGGTTCCAGAAGATGATTCTTTGCATCAGTTTTGTAGGTCGATTCATCATCCCGTGTCACTTTCTATTAAGCAACTTCATCGCCGCCATCCCGTCTCATCACTGCGACATCAGCTTTCTAGATGCCGATGGGCTCTTTGGAAATCTAACTGAGGAGGAGAGACTGATTGTCAGTGTTCCAACACAGGAAGACGGGAGTCCTGTTTCCTGTCACATGTTCTCTCATCCTCAGTTTCAGCTGCTGATAAACTCCTCCAGCAGCTCAGATCTTCCAGTAGTGGAGTGTCAGAATGGATGGCACTTTGATAACAGCACCTTTATCAGCACTCTCGCCACACAGGTAAAGCTTCAGTTACTGTAGGGAGGTGATGCATTATTGGCTAAACCTCCATATATATCGTTAAAAGTTTTTAAATGATTTATAAGTACTATTTAATTATTTTAATGGTGCATTAAATTGACTCACAAGAAACCACAGTATTTGAGTCATATAACTTGGAAATGTAGTAGCTAAGATACTTGTCAACAGAGTTTGATGAGAACTATCAATGTAGAGTGTAACCTGTTTTTCAATAGGTTTTATTAATTTTTACTATGAAAGGTCACTATCTTGGCAGAGAAAAATGATTATGAAATATGAAATTATGCAAGCAAATCTCTGACAGTTAATTATTAGCTAGCAACATGTTGAACTGCAATCAAAGTGTCATTGCTTGTGCAAAATGAAATACAAAAAAAAAAAAAGTGAGAGTTGTCTCTCACTGGCTTATCATCAACCTGAAGTTCTGCTCTTCAAACACAACACTTAAAATACCAAAACAAAAATAAAAATGACCCAAACTCTGTTCAAATGCAAAGTTTAAATTTCATCAAACTATAGATATGTAATAGTTGGTTTGACCTCCCTTTCACGTGCATAAACATCAGTCTGGCTGTTTCCATCTCGAATTAACATGCATTCAAATGCATCTCTTGAGAGTGGCCACTTGAGTTTGTACTTTTGTCGAGATCCTTATTTTCTACATTACTTTTGAGGGACACTCAATAAGTACTATTGAACAAAACCAATGCTGCATGGATTATACATTTACATTTAGTCATTTCAAGAGTCCACAGTTAGCTGATGATTGATTATAAAGTGTGTTTGGCATGCTACCCCGGGAGAGAGCCCTGACCTCATAAGATCCTCGAGCCCAGGGCTTCCTTCCGTTTGCAGGGCGAGAGGAAGGTTTGAGCTCAAGTAGATCTTGAGAACTCCCCTGTTATTTATAGCTAAAGACAAATTAGGAATTGCTATGGAGAGATATACTGCTGACTAAGAGCACATCTATTGTGCCAATTTGTATCTCGTATGTCTTTGGATGGTGGGAGGAAACTGGGGGAAAACCAACACGAGCTTGGAAAGAACATGTAAACTCCATACAGAAATGTTGATTGGCCTGGTAAGCACTTGAACTTGAGCACTTGAACTTGAAGCAACAGTGCTAACCACTGGGCTGCCTTACCTCACAATAAAGGAAAAGGGGGAGGAATAGGGGTGAAAGGTGAAGATAACTGTGGTATGTCACTTTGGTTATTTGTAGTGAGTTAGCATTTATCTTATTGGCAAATTATGTATTAGGTAATGCGGGACCAGCCGTGATCAATCATGAGCATGTTAGTTTATAATTAAAGTTTACCTAGCAGACGCTTCTGTCCAAAGCGACTAACAATTAAGGAGGTATTCAGCGATTCATTTTGAGAGAGAAAAGGAGAGCTTCTTATAGGTGGCTTTGGTATTATTCACCAGGGTTCAGGTGTTCTCTGAAGAGAAGTGTTTTTATGGTTGTCGATTTAAGGATACCAGTGTATCTGCAGTCTGAGTGGAAATGGGAAGATCATTTCTATCATATACATGGGAAAGCAAGTGAATTCCAGCCTTTAAGTCAGGATTGTCCAAACTCTGTCCTGGAGGCCTGGTGTCATGTTGAGTTTAGCTCCAACTTGCTTTAACACACCTGCTAGGAAGTTTCTAGTATATCTAGTAGAAGACTGATTAACTGGTTCATGTGTGTTTGATTAGGTTTGAAGCTAAACTCTCCAGGACACTGACCATACAGGACCGAGTTTGGACACCCCTGCTTTATAGTAATTGAGGGGTGGTAATGAACAAAGGTAAAAAGTGTCACCATTCTATCCAAATCCAATTTTTAGGTGTCTTATTTTGTGAAACTACAGCTCATACAGCTATTAAGAAAATTATTTTCCAACTCTCTGTTTCAGTGGGATCTGGTTTGTGATAACAGAGGTCTGAATAAAGCTGTGGCCACAATCTTCTTTGTCGGTGTGATGTTTGGAGCAGCTTTTTTTGGAGGCATGAGTGACAGGTGAATTTTCAAAGAAAACACAACTGTTATAAACATTAAAAATAAAGATTCCATTTAGATCTTTTGTGGTAAAGGATATATGTGGCATAAATAGAATCATTTTGGTTTCCCTAAGAAAAATATCTCTTAAAATACTTATCTTAACTAGTGAAGAACATTTTAATGATCTAAAGAACATTTTTTTCTGCTATAAAGAACATTTTGTTGATTGTAAAGCTTCAATGAATGTTAGGCTGTTTAAACTATAGTACAGTTCATTTTAAAATGGTGTTTTACAATGAAAACTCTTCATGTCCATGCCTGATCGCACAGGTACTATACATGGTAGAAACATCTATTTTATGTTTGTATTTACATCAAATGTATTAGCGCATTTGCTCTTCTGCAAAATGTCTATTAGAGCATTTCTTGACAATTGGTGTTTGACAATTTCCAATCCTACAATACCCCAGGGGTACTCAAACTTTTCAGCCCGCGACCCCTAAAATAACAATTGTGACTCACAACCCCCACTATGCTCGGAGGTGGTTATAAACATACAAATATTGCACACAATGGTGCGCACACACCAATAGGAACTATATAAACATAAGCATATTGTCAACACAAAAAAAGTGTAACAGTCTTACAACCATATCTTTTATTATAATCATTATTCATTTTTTTTATTTAATATTAACCTCACATAATGAGAATGGTGAGACTATTCTTGGTTTAATTTTGGAGACTTGCAGCCACTTGGAGATCATCCTCCTTGTTCAGTTATGGCCTTAATTTCTAAAGTGTATGTGAATGACATAAAGTTTAATATTGTACTGCAAAATCATTCTGCTGTGACTAACGCTAATGCTGTGATGTTAATCTAGCATAATAACCCCAGGGGTCACAAATAAAATACAATAATTGATAAAATATGATAATTCTATTAATTTAATAAAATATATGAGATTTTTGGAAATCACCAAGCAACACCGAATCACATACACCCCCCCCCCCCCCACCCCCCCAATGATTGTTTCACGACCCCCACTTTTGGGATGTGCATACTGTATATTGCACCATATACTTGTAGTTTATTGGCTTTGTAATGGTCATATAAGATGGACTTGATGAATCAGAGGCCAAAAAGCACAAATCCATTTACAAAAGTTTGTGTTTCAGTCCATCTAATGGAATACCAGGCTTTCCAAACTTAAACGGGGCTTCAGCATTTTCAAAAGGCCATGTTTCTTTGGGTTGAAGATGCTGTAGTAGTTTGATTACCAGGCTTAAAACAAAAATGCACTAGTGTAAAAAATCATGAAGCTACCAATGCAATTAAAACTTAATTTTTTAGAATTAAAATAAGAACCAATTACATTGTGCAAATATCATCACAAGCATGACCTGTTCTGTTTAAATAAACCTATTTTCTGTTTGGCATATAGATTTGGGCGTAAACCAATGCTGCTGGTCTCATACATATCAGGAATGGCTTTTGCATTGGCCAGCGTCTTTTCTACTTCCTTCACCATGTTCGCAGTGCTGAGATTCTTCAGTGGATTCACTATTACTGGCATTGTTATTGTCTCTTCTGTCCTCAGTAAGAATCTCTTGGCTTCTCAGATTATGGCTGAGTGTCAGTATGAAGCAAAGTAAAAGAGTCAGATGGATTGCTAATGCATGTGTTCCTCCAGATCTGGAGTGGGTGGACATTGAGCACAGGAGACTAGTGAGTATCATTGACAGTATGGCATGGGCTGTTGGGAGCACCTCGTTGGCTCTGATTGCATACTTTATTCGAGACTGGAGATGGCTGACAGTGGCTGTCACTTCACCTTTAGTGCTGTGCACTATCCTTTGGTGGTAATAGCTCTGATTTGTTCTGTCAAATTAAAAACATAATGAGTAAGTTCAGCCTAAAGGTTTTTCTACAGCAAATGTTTCTGGTGTACTGTAGGTGGGTTCCAGAGTCTGCTCGATGGCTGATAGCCAATGGGGACGTGGAAAAAGCTCATTATTATCTGCATAAATGTGCCGTCATGAACCGTAAAGCTGAAGTTACATCAAGAATCAAACCTGAGGTGGGAAAATGGTCTAGGTTGACAAACTTTTTAAAAACATGCTTGTTAGTAACCCAGGTAGCAAAGAATTCTGGCACAGATTTGGCATAAAGCTGGCACAGCAGGCATTTATCTGGCTTTAAGGCAGCACACAAGATTTGAGCCAGACGTAAAATGTAGTATTTGGCCCAGATGTTAAAAATTGATTTATGGGCCACTTAAGTTTGGCCTGTCTTGACCCACATTTAAAATACATTAAAATAAATTTTGAGTAAAGTTCTACCAATCAGGTCGCTTTGGGAAAAAGCCCGTCCATACTGTGCTAAAAGCGCAAGGCTTCATGGTTTTATCAATTTCATTGCAATCGTGACACACTAACCTATCTGGCACAGTTCAGGCCCAGTTATGAGTTATTAACCTGGCTGTGACTTGACTTAGATATAATCCATGTTTGGCCCTTGTCTGGAACCCAGACTTGGTCCAGTCATGTACCTTAATTCACTGCGGCATGTGGGCCAAGCAAAACCTGATTTGTGTGGGCCAGAGACATTTTGCTATGTGGAAAGTTAAGCACATCTCTATTTTTCCTCTGTAGGCTCTCGCTATCAGTGTTTCAGATCAAGGAAAGAAAAAATATACGTACCTGGACCTTGTCAGAACACCTAAGATGAGGAAACTGGCTATGCTCACAGGAACAGTATGGTGTGTCACTGAACAATTAATAATTCACAGTGATTTGCAAGAAGGCTGTTTAAAAGGGCAGTTCACCCAAAACTGAAATGATTTTATCATTTAATAACCCTTTACTTGTCACAAACCAGTTTCACTTTCCTTATTGTGTTGAACACCAAAGAAGATATTTTGAAGAAAGTTGAAAATGGTAATCATTAATTTGTTTTTTTTTACGTTCGTCAATGATTACTGTTTTTTTGTATGTGTTCAACATGAAGAAAAAAAGGAATGGAACCATTTGAGGGCGAGTAAATAATGAGTAAACATTTAATTTTTTGGAGAACTATCCCTTTAAAAGTTAAACTGGCTACATGTTCAAGTCAGAAACTCTTGCTATTTGGTGACATCGCTGGTCAATAACTAAACTGCACTCAACAGCTTATTTCTTACACACATATCATATGTTAATCTTCAGTAGCAATATATTGAAAAACATGGTATAGTAAATAATGTAATAATGGCTTTTGGCCTCTTGCAGGTTTTGTGTCGCCACTATGACCTATGGTATAAGCCTCAATATCACAAGCTTTGGATTAAATATGTACCTCACTCAGTTTGTTTATGGAGCCATTGAGGTTCCATCTAAACTGATTGTATATTATCTTCTGGAGAAAATTGGCAGGCGGAAGACTGAAGCAGGAGCTCAACTATTTGCAGGAATCAGCCTCATGATTAACATATTCATACCCAAAGGTGAGTGTGGAAATGTTAATTCTACATTTCAAACCAACCGGTTTGCAGTGCACTTGAGCAAAAGAGCTGATGTTCTCTAATATCTTGGATAAACAGTACAACTGTTTTAAAGGGCACCTATGATGAAAATCATCTTTTGGAAGCTATTTAGACAAAACTGTGTGTAGATATAGTGTCTCCACAGTAATATTGGAGTGACATAAACACAATAAGTCTCTTTTTTTTTTAATTTCCTTGTGTTAAAATAGAATCCAAATCCCTCTTATTTTAAGGCCCACTGCAACGTGACGTGGGGATGTGGTTTCCCCGCCCACCGAATTGTTTGACAGCCGCATATAAATGCGTATAATCATATCAACAAGACAGGACGTGCGCAGGGGCTGCACGGGGCACAGTGGGTAGCACATTCATCTCACAGGAAGAAGGTCACTGGTTTGAGCCTCGGCTGGGTCAGTTCACATTTCTGTGTGGAGTTTGCATGTTCTCTCCGTGTTTGCATGTGGTCTAGGTTAATTAGGCAGGCTAAATTGTCCATAGTGGATGTGTGTATAAATGTTTACCAATGATGGGTTGCAGCTGGAAGGGCATCTGCTGCATAAAACATATGCTGGATTAGTTGGCGGTTCATTCCACTGTGGGGACCCCAGATTAATAAAGGGACTAAGTCAAAAAGAAAATTAATGAATGAAAGGATGTGCGCAAAGCAACTGGGATTAAAAGATCTGTTCAGCTCGCTGTGATCATCAATCATCATCAAATGTGATCAAGAATCAGTTTTACAAGTTTAAAACGTTTTTTGCATGATTGTAATGAATTACAACAATTTGACCATTTTTATCAGCACAGCCGCATATCAGTACGATTATAAAGGAAGACGCTTCAGTCCCGGTTTGTGGACAATAAATCAGGTTTATTTCACATAACATAACGGATATCTATACAGTAGTGGGTATTAACGTGTATCCTGTTAAATTTGCCATGCAAAAACAGTGCAAAGTTCAACATGCTCACTGTGTGTGTGTGTCCACTGTATGTGTGTGTATATGTGCGTGAACTTTGTAACAACATTGTGTGTGACTCTACAACATTGAATTAACTCCACCCAACAAATACAAAATCATTGGGAAAGTTCTTACTGTAGTATTTCTCACAAATGTAGTATTTGTTTGTGAGATCTGCTTCCTTCATGTCTGTCACTGTGCTGTTTATCTGATGCAGCCAAGGCACATGGGAACAGTGTGTGGGAGAACTAGAATTAAAGGCACAGACCTCAAAAATAGCTACATTGTGCTCAGAGCAGAAATTCCAATATTCTGAAAGGTATAAAAAATAATCTGATGGGTGTTTTGAGCTGAAACTTCACATTCAACAACACATTCTGGAGACACAAAAGACTTATCTTAAATCTTGATAAAGGGGTCAAATAGGTGCAATTTATTACAGCAGATTAAACATAACGGTATGACCACTGGTTTTGAAAACATTAATAGCTTTCTCCATTTGCCACTCCAAGGAAAAAGTTTTGAATACAGCCATGGCAAAAACACATCCATATATATATTTAAAGGTTGCAAAATATATTTATAAACATATATATATATATATATATATATATATATATATATATATATATATATATATATATTGCAACCTTTAAATTAATTCCAGAACACTACAGGATGGTTATTTTTAAATAACTTCTACAGAAAGTCTGTTTTTCAGGTCTATCGCTGCATCCGATAGCGCAGCATGCATGGGATGCGCACTCCGGAATCTCGCCGGAAGTAGTAAGTCATCCGGGTACTTCTCGCATACTGATTTTCGAATTCTATGAATTCGGACATACAACTCGGCTCGCATACTGATTTTAGCGTACTATATAGTATGGAAGTATGTGGTTTCGGACGCAGCCATTGTTTTGCAACCTTGAAAAAATGTCCCTAAATTGTTGCAGGGTGGTAATTTTCTGCAGGATAGCCTAAAATATCTTTTACAGAATGTTGCTTTATGGCTATATTTAGATAATTTTATAAAATAACGTTGGCACAACATTAAATAGTAATGACCAAAATTAATATTACAGAATGTCCCAAAGTTTTATATTTTAAGGTTACTTTTACAACCTATAGATAACTGTCCCTGAAAATTCTATACAGGTTATTATTATTTTTATATCTAACCATGTAAACTAACTTTTCATTTATGCATTAATTTTTTTCGGCTTAGTGCCTTTATTAATCAGGGGTTGCCACAATGGAATGAACCACTAACTTATCCAGCATGTGTTTTTCACAGCGGATACCCTTCCAGCCACAACCCAGCACTGGGAAACATCTATACACTCTTGCATCTACACCCACACATACACTATGGCTAATTTAGCTTGTTTAATTTATCTCGGTGGGGTAAACCAGAGAAATTGGAGGAAACCCACGTGAACATGGGGAGAACATGCAAACTCCACGCAGAAATGCCAACTGACCCAGCCGGGACTCAAACCAGTGACTTACTTGCTGTAGGGTGACAGTGCTACCCACTACGCCACCATGTCACAACTAACTTTTCATTAACTTTAAATATGTTGAATTGGCAAACTACCCATCTCATAATGGCTAAAAGAGGGTGAGTTTCACTTGTTTATTCAGTCAGTTAAACATGGTTCAATATCTTCTCTCTCTCTATCTTATTCAGATCAGTGGATTGGTCGTACTGTGGTTGCTGTTCTGGGTAAAGGCTTCGCAGTTGCTGCCTTTTGCACAATTGTATTATATAGCTCTGAGCTTTACCCGACTGTTCTCAGGTAACATTGACCTCCTGCCTTTTGTTTCCTTCGAGTTAATTTGCAACTTGACATAAAATCTGTAATTGCACACTACACGCTAAATAAACACTTTGATTGGATCCTCTAGGCAAAATGGCATGGGCTATAATTCCTTCCTGGCTCGTCTGGGTGTTTCTGTGGCTCCTTTAGTCCTGCTATTGGACACTTTCTGGGGTCAGTTCTCTCAGACCATCTTGTGCTCGGTGGCACTAATTGCTTCTGTGGTGGCCTGGAATTTACCAGAGACTCGAGACAGGTGTCTACCAGAGACTATAGAGGATGTTGAGGGCACTGGGTAAGTCTTAACATTCAGTACAACATCATTCTGAACACTTAAAGGGACAGTACTCCCAAAATGAAAATTTCCTCACTATTTCCTCACACTAAAGTGCATCTAAACTTTTATGAATTTTTTTTTTTCTTCTGTTGATCACAAAACAAGATAAACTGTTTGTCATTAGATACATTTTTGGAACAAAAATATGGAAGTCAACGGCTGTTTTAATCCACACAGTATATCTTTCTTTGTGTTTAACAGAATGAATAAATGATGAAAAGTTTAACAGAATGAAAAGTTTCATTGATAAGTGAACGATACCTTTTAATATAAATTCTCTCAATGACTATGATGCTCAGAAATAAAGTTACAGAAATGGTCACTGACAAGGTATTGGTTGTTGCTAGAAGGGATACAGCTGTGCCTGGAAATTAACAAGAATGATTTATATTATTTCTAAAATTACCCATTAATTGTATTTTATTAACGTCCACCTCCACTACCCCATGCCTAAACCCAACCATTACAGTAATGTACAGTAATTATACAGAGTATTATCCATATTATTTATTATATTTCCCATTAAATTGTATTTTATTAATGCTCACACACACCCCAACCCTAAACGACTCACGGATAATAATTATTGTTGTACAGTGTTACAAAAATTATGCTATATTGATGTGTGTATCCACGGCTGTATCCCATCTAGACTTTAGCGAGGTACTTTTCAAACAGTTTTGTTCTTTTTATATAGAATAAATATATATGCTTTGGGTAGTAGAATGTATCTTTAAGTTACCAATATGGAACCTTTAAGTACAAATGTGCACCTTTGGAAAGGTACTGCCTTTCACTGTTTTTGTACATGTTTGTGTGTGTGTGTGTGTGTGTGTGTGTGTGTGTGTGTGTGTGTGTGTGTGTGTGTGTGTGTGTGTGTGTGTGTGTGTGTGTGTGTGTGTGTGTGTGTGTGTGTGTGTGTGTGTGTGTGTCGGTGTGTGTGTGGACAGTTTTTTAAAATGCATTTTCCTAATTATCAATTAGAATAAATGCAATACATAAAACAGCGTTTGCATATACCTGACTGTGTGAAAAGCTTTACACAATACAATTGTATTAATTGTGTAAAAAAAATCTGTACTAAATAAAAAAAGTTTTTCTTTATGACCTAATGTTCACTTGGCCTTTCATTTTCTGCATTTTCATTCTCATAAATGTAACAGCCCACCCTTCCAATGTTCACACCTTTTGGTCCAAAAAGGTAGCCATAGCAGGGTACGTGGCAGTACGGGCTGCCTTCATGCTGCAGACAACAGAGAACATAATAAAGCATATTTTATATAGAGAACTTATATTATAAAGAACTCAACTACTGCTTACATAACTTCTTTTATGTTTTAGAGTTAGCTATTGTTAAAGTTCTGGAATAAACTAATATGAAACAATATGTAGAAAATCTCAATTGCATTGAAAAGCATCTCTATATGCATGAGTACCTCTGCATGGCCACCAGGAGTCAGTGTTTTCTTACATCTCACACAGCGAAGGCAAGGCCGGTGCCAGTTGCGACCCAATGACATCACTTTCTCAGCTGTGGTATTAGACGATGACATCATCACAGTACATCACAAATTTCGCCATATCAGTCCAGTTAAAGTAAATATCAAATGAATATTCAATTGCAATTACTCCATTGATAAATGACCTATTAAATTAGTCTAATTCCATCAACAAGCTCTTTTAGCCTGGAAACTGATTTAAAACCACAATTACTCACACCACAGAACCATTTTATGGAATAATGCAGACATTAAGATATATAATAAATCTTTTTTGGAATAAATGGTTTAACAAAAACATTATCTTTGTTTCTGATCTTTTCAATCATAATGGGGATCTCTTAACTTTTGAGAGTTTTATAAATATTATTAAATTTCCGGTCCAGTATAAGGAATTTAAGTCAATTATGAAGGCTATACCTAGTGGATTACTGTCTCCACAAGTAATCAAGATTATCAGCATATACATTTTGCATTCCTAATAAAATAAAAGAGGTGCACTTTAAAAGTTTGCACAAATTTACCTCTGTAATGCACTCTTTTCCAAATATTGTGATGTTGCTGATATTTGCACCTTCGTCAAAATGAGTGTGACGACATTTGTCACTTGTTTTTTTTTAATGCAACGTATCATCATTGTTTTGGAATGATTTAAGTTCATGTTGCTTTTCCAAAGTTAATGCGAGTGGTAATTTGCACCTTAAGGATGTTATTTGTTATTTTGAAAACCAAAACAAGTTGTTAGAAGCCTTTGTGAACTTTCTTATACTTACTGGAAAATTTTGCTTTCACAAAAATTTTAAGGTTCCTTAAAAAAATAGATTTTTTATTCTTATGTGAAATAGAACATTTAATTAACGCAGATTACTTGATAATAAGAAATGTGCTTCTTTCTTTAGTAAATGTGATGAGATCTTTCATGCTACTTGAAATTTTATCTATTTTTAATTAGATAATTATTATTTGTTTTATGTACCCCCTTTTTTGGGGGAGGGGGGGTGCTTTTTATCCTGTTTATCTAATGTGAATGTTGTGTAAAAGAACAGTTCTCATTTACTGTATTCTTAATTGTACTGTATATTCAACAAATCGAATGAAAATGTATACAGTGTATTGCAATGCTTTTAATGTGTGTGTATATAAAGCTGTGAAAGTTTGTCTGAATTTTTCAGTGTTAAGTAAAATAATTTATTATTTAGTATTATTATTGTTGTTTATTCTTTAACATTTCTTACAAATTTCAAGTAAAAATACTGTCATTCACAACATTTAAAATGACAATTAGTCAAAATAACATTACAGAAAATGTTTTCTTTACATAAAGCATTATTTATATTAGGTATGCTCCGATCGAATGGCTGAAGATATCGATATCGGTCGTTAATCACATTTAATGACTCGATCGATACTCGTCAATCTGGCCGATCTCATGAAATGATCACAGAAGTTTGAATAGTTAATTGTATAACTTCCTGTAATATAATTACTGCAATAAACAGTAGTTTAGAGGACTGTTTTCTTTTACTAAAGAAGTAATGGATATATAGGTGCACATTTTAACTTCTAATACATCAAATGCGCACTCAACTTTTTCTTGATTAAGACATGTTGAATTATTCTTTCATCATTTTGCAAATGTTTCCAAATTGCATTGTTTGTAATTTTTCTTCAAATATTTATATCTGTTATATTATTTTCTGTAAAGCTGCTTATGGCCATGACATTTCCACACTAAATGGTTATAAGAGATGTGTTTAAGGTATTATATGCAGCATCCTTCATTTATTCTCTTAGGTAAGGTGAGATCTCCACTTGAGTATCATACTTAGAGTGAAAATGTGCCTAATGCTTTCTAAAACTTGAAGCATTGGAATCAGTATCGGCCGATCACCAAGAATCGGTACTCAGTATTGGCTGCAAAAATTCTGATTGGAGCATCCCTAACTTATATTTATTTAATAATATACTTTAATGTAGTTTAATAATATAGAATTATGTAATAAAGATATATAGTGACAAAACCTGCTATATAAAACTAGTATATAATATATGTTCAATTAATATAATTTGAAATTATTAACAAAAATTAGGGCTAGAAAACCCCCACAAACAAAAGGTTTTCACATGTGGGATTGTAGTATAATCAGTATAAAGTTACCATCAAAAACAACAAAGGTTTCATACTGTATAAAGTTCAAAGTTGACTGTTGTTGTTTTTGATCGTGACAAAAACAGCAAAAAGAACAGCAATAATTCCATTTCAGAAAACATATTGTTTTAAAGTTAAAGTTTATATATAACTTAGAACTTTATACATAAACTTTAACTATAAAATATATGATTTTTTAAAAAGGAATTCTTGTTGTTCTCTTTTAAATACACTTAAATTCTTGCACACAACCACCACAGCAGCACAAAAACCACACACACACACCACAGACATTCCTGAAAGCTCTCAAATGTCTGAAAAGTCAGAGTTCTGATTCTCTGGACTCACCGAAATAAACTGCTTTTCCACAGCCAGGACACAGATACGTCTCTCCAGCAAACATGCGTGCTGGAGCAGTGGCAGCTACAAACCAAAACAAGAACTTTATATCGATTTAAATACACATATTCACATCTGTGTTCACATTAAATATGATTTCCTAACTTTTGAAGTCCACATGCTGTGACTAAATTTTTGATCAGGATCCATGGCATTTCCGTTTAAACATCCACAGACTTTGAATCAACACTTCTGTCTCACATCAGTGACAAACCGTTGGCAGTTTTAGATCCCAATCTCTTCTCCTCTATTCTTTTTATCAAAGACGTCCCATGGTGCTTTGCTCACGTGTTTAGGAAACCCTCATTTCTACAGACGTTTCCACATTGCTCCTTAAAACCCTCCCCTAACATTCCTTTTCGTCCCGCCTGTCGGAAAACACCTATTAAGGGGAAATATTTTAGGAAAGGAGCCAATCAGCGAAGCCCATTAAAATTCCATCACGTAAAATCCCAAGGGGGTCAGTTCAGAAAAGCATCCTCCCAGGCCTCCGTTACACACACACACGTTTAAGTATTTCTGTCTCCCACTCAATGTGAGAGTGTGTGTGTGTGTGTGTGTGTGTGTGATGTGTGTGTGTGTGTGTGTGTGTGTGTTTGTTAAAAAGTGCTGAGGAAGTGTTACTGTATAATGGAATGTGTGGAACAATGCAGCTCGGAAGAGTGTGCCTATGTACAGTGGCTAAAAATAGCGTATTGTCACATTTGCACACTTTAATCACATTTAAGCATGACTGAATGGCATTATAAGACACAATAATAAACCAAGTGACATCTAAAGTCTAATGATGCTAGATTACATTTTTCTAGACCTTTTCAGTCACTTTAAGCAACTAATATGAATGTGATTTTAGAAGATGGGTGAAGTCTGTTTATCTCAAGTTTAACTGGAGTAACTGGTGTAAATGACTAATGTTTGACAACTGGAAAGTGTTCTCCCCGCGTTCACCAGGTGCTCTGGTTTCCCCCACAAGTCCACAGACATGCGGTGTAATTGAATTGGCTAAGCTAAATTGTCCATAGTGTATGTGTGTGTGAATGAGTGTGTATGGTTGTTCCCAGTGATGGATTGCGGCTGGAAGGGTACCCGCTGCGTAAAACATATGCTGGATAAGTTGGCGGTTTATTCTGCTGTGGCGACCCCAGATCAGTAAAGACACTAAGCCGAAAAGAAAATGAATGAATGGACTAGAAAGTGTCAAATTGTTTTTCCTTTGAGTGTTCTCACAACTATCTTTTAATGTATATGCTCTTTAACATTTTTATTAATGTATTCATTTTTCCGGTTTCTTAGTCCCTTATTTATCACAGCGGAATGAACCACCAACTATTTCAGAATATGTTTTACGCAGTGTATGTCCTTTCAACTGCAACCTAGCACTGGGAAACACCCATACAATCTCACATTTACACCCACATTCATACACTACAGCCAATTTTGTTTTTCCAATTCAGCTATAGCGCATGCCTTTGTACTGTGGGGGAAACCCATGCGAAACCCAATACGGGGAGAACAAGCAAACTCCACAAAAAAATGTAAACTGGCTCAGCCAAGTCTCGAACCAGTGACATTCTTGCTGTGAGGTGACAGTGCTAACCACTGAGCCACCGTTCCACCTCTTTGACATCTCTAAATAAAATTCAATCCATGTCTAGTCCACTCTTGCTGGATAACATTACTAAAGCCCAATTATGATCTTTTACAAGATTTAATATAAAATAAGACATAATAACAAAAAAAAAAAACTAACACACAAAAACATTCTTTTTATGTGATTTTAAATGCAAACAATTTGTTACTTTTTAACAGCTTGTGCTTTGTTGCTCTGACAACAACAAATAAAACATCTGCATTTCAAAACTTTGACAGTTTAAAGGTCTCGTGAAGTGCTTTGAAATTTGCATTTTTATTTTATGTTTGATGTAATCTCATCCAAAACACAAAGACAGGGTGGGACATGGTGTAGCTCCTCCCCAATAGTATTTTGTTTTATCATTGTCAGTGAGAGTGGTTGAGATCAAGCACATCAAATGAAAAGCAAATAAGAAGAATTCTTGTTTTTTTTAAGTAATATTCTAATGAGTTTTTTCAATAGTCTTGATGATAAAAGTAATAATTTCATTATTAACTTTCTTTTAATTCTTGCAAAAGTCCATATATATTTCTGTAAATTCTCTCAACATATACCTTCTTTATTGTTTTTGAAAAGGGACTTCAACGGTACATTAGAGCTACTATTTCCTCTAAAAATCTTAAAGCTAGAACTGTTAACTTACTTTCCTTTTTTAATTTGTTTAACACAATTTTTTTATTATCTGCTTGTTTTTTTAGTTTATTTTTTTCTTGTATGTGCTTATTTGATGCTTTACCTGTCTGTAAAACTCATGTACAATCTGTCACAAATGTTTATGATGCTGTTTTTGTTATCCTGACATTAAAAAAAAAAAAAAAAAAAAGTTAAAAAAAATAAAAGCAATTGAGAATGAAGGAGGTGGGGCATATCAGATACTAGAGAGCATTTGATTGGTTATGATTTGATGAGAAACTAGAGTATGAGGTGATGTGAATAAATATACTGATCCGTTTAGGCAGAAGTGACAAACTACAAGCTTTACATGTTTCAGTTTTTATTTTTTAAACATGAATTTTGTCACTTTTAGATACCTTAAAACTAACAATACTGAAACTAACATCTAAAAAACTTTAATTTCATGGGGCCTTTAAACTCCGGACAACATTGAATCTTTGCACTCAGAATATTGTGATTATAAAGGCTTCAAATGATCTAGAAGTTTAGTTATCTTAAAGTTTGTGTGAACCAAAAGTTACTGAGACTTTTACTTCAGTATCTTGATGTAATATTGATGTAGTGTTGATGTAATGTTAAGGTGAGGACAGGGCTTTCTGTTTGTCCATTGCTCCCTCATTGTTTAAAAATTGTACATTTAAATTTCAGACAGAAAAAACAACAACACATTACCAACCACAACCAAACATGCATTGGGTGGGCAATATTTAAACTCAGAATACTGCAATGTAGTGCAATATAACTGATAAATGATAATTAGAGCCAGACAGTTTGCAGAGAATTTTGTAAAAAATCTGTGGATTTATGTGGAATTATTTTGGGAGTATTGTTACTATTGTCAATTTAGATCCACACTTGTTTGGTAAACAGAGCAAGTCTTTCATATAGTCTATATCTACTAAAAGACTTTTTTAGATATTACTTACAAACTGTATTGTAAATAAGTCAAAAGAACATTTACAATAATAATAACAGTCAATAATAATCCTGAAGTTCATTTAAAAACTGAACAAATATAAATTTACATAAATTTACATTCACACAAGTAAATAAATAGACTCAATGATGGGCCAAAAATCTGCAGAATTCTGTGCACGCAGATTCCATGTAGGCCTACTGATAATACAGCGACATTGTGCACTAAAATGCATCTTATTGGGCCCAAACATTAGTGCATGTGTCAAAATCACCTTTAGGTTGATTGAAGTTGATCTGTGAGGTGGTCCAAGGTGTGGTTGGGGATCCTTCTGAAGGGCTGTTGCATGTTTTGTTGACTGGCGTCTGAGGAGGCGTGTCATATATATAAGAGCCCGCCCCTCCAATATTTACACCTACCAATGAAAGGACAGAACAGTGAGTGCCATTCCATTACCACATGAGCATGTGTGATAAAGCTCCTACCTAAGTGTTCAGACTCTCCTAAAGCAGATAAACAAAATCCCAAAATATCCCCTTCAGGTCCAGAACAAATGTCTCACCTAAATTACACACACATTTAAATAGTATAATTCAAGCTGAAACCAGCACATTCATAAAATGAAACCTATAGAGTTTTACCAATAGGCAGCACACTTAGTAGTACAACCAGTGTGCGAACTATACATTGATGATCAGGGGTCAACTTTTTTCGGTAGTAGTTATGTAATATGTGCATTAGTGAATTACATTTATAAAAGTATTGAAATTACATCCTTTTTTTTAAAAAAAAAAACATACGTTATCAGCATTTTAAGGGATATTTCGTGACAATCGTAGAGGTTACTGTGGGTCAAACTATACAAATTATGTCTATTTTTTCCTTTTTTTTAAGAATGTATATTTAAATATTGTTATTTAATGTATATTTATATTTTAAATGTATATTTATATTATACATTTTTTAATTATGTAAAAAAATGTACATTTATGTAAAATGTAAGATAGAGATCAGAGAAAGCTATTTCTGAAATGCTAGCTGGCAGTGGGGTGTTTATGTTCCTCTGCGTCGAGTTTGTTTGTTGGTGTTTTGTTTTTTCTGAACGCTACCTTAATGTACAAGTGGTTCAAACTTGCTCATTTTGAGGCTAGAATCAAGGGACTTGCAACAACTTTAATCATAAGGTAAACACAAAAAAAACTTGCTTGGCTCACACCTCCGTCCACACTCGTCAGCGCTACAAAGCCGACCAATTACATAGCTTGTGCTACATGTCGTTGCGACGTGAAGTTACATTTTTTGAGAGGTGCGTATAAGCATCGCTGACGGCTACGGCTAGGGCCATGCGTCCATGGGTAGGTTGCCATGCCTTGTATTCAAGTGAACAATGCTAAATTCAGGTGGGGCTCTAAGATGTTTTCATAAATACATTTAAATGTAAAATATGTAAAAAAAAAAAAAATGTTTGTTAAAATCCAGATAAATAAGCAATTGTAAGTAGTGAAATGCACCATATCCTGTCACCATGCTAATGATATCATACACCACTTTTGGTTTGTTTCATAGAAAACTGTGAAACACTAAAGATGCTTTAATATGTTGTGTGTTTTATTCGACTGCACAGGGCACCATTATAACCGAACCCTAACATGTATTTAGTATGATTAAACAACACTGCTTTTTTCCATGTGATCATGACCAGAATGACTGAAAGCAGTGGACTGTGGCATAATAAAAGCTCTACTGCTTAAATGCTGCATTACACTAGAATTACTCTGCTTCATACTACCATGATAGTAAGATTTTAATTTCATAAGCACATCCATGCACATGATTTCGGCAGAACAAGTAATGTAGCAAGTAATGAGGATGACAATCCCATAATTCCACACTCAGTCACAGCGTCATCAAATAATGGCTTTGTATGTTGTAAATACACACCCTCTAGTGGCGAAAATGACATACTATGTCTTTAAAGGGACTGCTTTTGTGTTGGAAAAACCTTAAGTGGTCGAATGTTTGAATAGTCCAAAAATACTTATAAACATTCATTCATTGATTTTCACACCCATACACTCTTGCATTCACTCACATACACAATGGCCATTTTAGCTAACCCAATTCTCCTGTACCGCATGTCTTTGGACTGTGGGGGGAATCCAGAGCACCCGAAGGAAACTCACGCAAACACATAGAGAACATGCAAACTCCACACAGAAATGCCAACTGACCCAGCCGGAGCTTGAACCAGTGACCTTCTTGCTGTGAGGCGATCATGCTACCCTCTGTGCCACCATGACCCACATTCCTATATCCAAACCTACCTAATCTAACATGACCTTTATGGGATGTTTTATTAGAATGCACAGGTATTCATATACCTTCCACAGAACACAGGATTGTTAATTTACTAGTGTTTGTGCTTTAAACTGAGCACTAACATGAAAGACGCACTTGACAGATTGCGAAAAAACTTACATCAACAGTTCAGTAGCGGATCGTGTCATCTGCTTTAATGAGGAAAGGATCTCATTAGAATTTTAAATTAGGGTATTGAATGAAACAGCCCTGTAAGATCTGATCTAACCAGGAAGATCTACTTTAATCTGAATGATCTCAACCAACAACAAAAAAACAATTCAACCCCAAAAAGTCACTATTAACTATACTCGTTATTCCACATCTGCAGGAACATCTACTTTATAGTTTAAATAATAAATTCAGCGTTAAAAACAAATAAAGAACCAAAGAAAAGTTAGTCACTGTTCGACCATTAGTGAAGTACTGTTTAACTTAAAATTTTATAACATAATTTCACCCATATAAACACAAAAGAATACAGTGATCTAGTCCATTTTCTCTTTTTAAATGTATTTTTTTTTTTCCAAAAGATAAAAATTAAAATTTTCCTGATATTTAACTCATCACAAAATCATTTTTATGCCCATTCCCTTGACCATATCCCTAAACACAACCCTCACAGGAAACAAAAACAATCTGCCTTTTTACATTTTTCAAAATAATTGATCTTGTGAGATTTATGAGCCATTTTTCTCAAGGGACCAAAAAATGTCCCCACAAGGTCAAAACTTACTGGTATTGCTACAACATAATAGGGAATGCAATGCACACACACACACACACACACACACACACACACACACACACATACACACACATACACACGCAGAGGATAAGGTTTCTAGTGGTAAGTGCAATGTCTTTGGTTGAAAGGTTATTCTAAAAGTCAATGAGAGTCAAATTTCTCTAAATGAGCCCTTATTTAAACCTTTATTTCCTTTACATTCACACAAAAAAGTGCAAAGAGCAAATAGCTTAAAGAGTCTCACATATGCACATTAAATTAAATTTTCAAGTGTCTCAGAGTTGCATGAGAGTACACACCTTTTGGTCCAAAGAGGGTTCCATAACAGGGTTTATGGCAATAAGGCAATCCATCATGCTGTTAAAAAGAGAGAATATTTTTATTGGTTAGTGTAAGCTCATTTTGAAGAGTTTTGTACAGTGCTGCAAACGAAAAAGGGAAAAACAAAACATACAAGTCCCATTAAATGTGAACATCCATTAAATTAATAGAAATGGTTTAAAGTATTCATTATAAAACCCACATTTTTATGCAAGGTAATATTTTCAGAAATGTGTGGGAGACAGAATGAAAGAAAGAGAGAGGGAGAGAGATGCTTATGCCTTGCTGGATTCATTAGAGGTCATTGTTTATCCTTCTGTTCCTTCCTGCTCCTCCCAGACTGCATAAAAAGACCCAGTCAGACTCAAATCTGACTGAAATTCAAGCTTCTGTACACACACACACACACACATCTATTTTTGTGCGCGTGCATTTCATTGAAAGTGGTTGGACAAAAAACAAAGTTCTCTTTTAAGTCAAAATAGCATGTTAAATTGAGCTACTTGAAAAAAATATTTATAAACAGACTTTATGTAATTGTTCTATAAAAAATACCACAAATAAAAAGGAAAAGATTAACAACTTAAGAGATGTACGATTTATGTATGCATTTACTGTAACTTTATTTTGGTCTGCAAACTACTTACAAACTACATTTCTTTTAAAATGTAAAATAAAATGACAATTTTCTATGATATGGTTTTAGTTTTAGACAAATAAAGAAGACATAAATATGCTGTAGATGCCCATATTTTTATATGAAATTTGGAAATGTTATCAGATATAGAATAATACAAATATTAACATTTTATTTACATTTCCAAGTGGTTTCCAAAACAGTATTTAAAAACAATAAAAAATTCAGTGAGAACTCTATTGTGACAGGCTAAAAATATAGCACACCAGAGCAATTTACTAAAGAATAGAGTAAAACAGGCGGTAAACACCTGCAGAGAGCCGACCAACCTCCAGCTGTTTGGAACACAATAAAATAAAGAGCAGCACACACAGTTCTCAAAAGAAAGGTGAACACAGCAACTGTGATAAAATAGTAACATCTAAATATATCCTTCTGTGAGACAATGATGAGCTGTTCATCCATCCATTTATATCAAAACAAATGAAAAAGCATTAGAAATAATCCTCCTTCAAATCCAAACTCACCTTATAATTAAACTAAAGCTATGTGTGACTGTTTGTGTGCAAGCAAGCATGCTTGTGTTGAGAGAGAGAGAGAGAGAGAGAGAGAGAGAGAAGGAGGGTGAAGAAAGAGAGGCAGAAAGGCAGATGATTGTTTTCTGCTTTGAATAAACACTATCTTTGTCTCTTTGTTGTCCTTGTGATAGTTCTGGTAAAGACCCACAGTAACACCGAGTGTGGGAGAGCAAGTACATATACTTATAGATAGGGCCTATCTACATGTAGTTAAATGATCTGAACTGTAGTAGCTGAGCATGTCCTTTTAAAATGAAAGATAACTCCAATTTCTGCAGGAATTTCAATGAAGTTAATATTATGATTACATTTCCTGCAAAAAAACAAGCAGTGCTGAAACCAAAACCCAGACTAAAAGAATCGTTTTCACTTCCTGTTACCACAGTCAGCCTGTCTTTACCCAACTGTTCCTGTCTATTAGTCTCTTTTCTGTTTTGTCCTGTAAACCTAAGGTAAAACAAACACTTGCACATAATATTTATTCCTTGTTTTTTATTCTTTGCTACTGTATCTCTACATTCAGAGTTTAGAAGGAGTATGGGAATAGTTTAATGTAACCGTTTAAAGAAAACAAACATGCTTAAACATTCCCATCCATAATAAATACATAAATAATAATATAACTGTAATTAAAATATCTCCCTGACTGTCAGAAAACATTCCAGGCAGATTCAGCGAGCTTGCCTTAAATACTTATTATCTGTGTTTACAGTCATTTTAGGACTTTCAATTCCTCTAATCTTCTTCTTGTGAAGAGTGACAAGTCTGTGTGGAGTGTAGACTTTTAGAGGGATGGATGAACAATCACTTAACCCATACAAGGACACAATGCAACTAACTGACCTACAAAATGTCTCCTAACATATCAGACAAGACCAGTGAACATGTCAGGACAATTAGAACAGGAAAAAGAAGGGAGAAAAAAAGCACAATTAGGAGCGACTAAAGAGGACTGACCAAACCAGTGTCAGTTTGATGGCTTGAGTTGGTTGTGTGATCCTTTGCTAAATGATAACACTGTGTACATGTAGCCCTCACCCTGAGGAACTAAACCACTACATATATACCCAGAAGTAGGACATCTAGAGTTGCAGTCTAAGATTTGTCTGTCTTTAGGGATCATGTCAGTGCTGAGTGATCAAAGTCGTCGGCAGTTCACACTGAGGAAAAAATAGACTCTTAAAAAAAAAAAAAAGGAAAGGAAAGACATATAAATACTAAAATGAATGCGCAAAAGAAAAATGGGATACCTTAAAAAGGTACACAAGGATCTCATAACCATAACGTAGTTTCAAAATTTCTTTTCAAACCGGAAGAACGTATTTGCTCGAAATAACGCAAACACAACCAATTTTCACTATTTTTGTAAAATATATGTCTTCATAGTATTTTTAGCAGCATGGGGCACATAAATGACTGTCAACATCTCAAAAATGTGTTGTGACCCTTTAAAAAACAAGAAAATTAAGCAAGGAACGAACTCTTGAAAAAAAATAATTAGGAAAGAAAGAAAGAAAGAAAGAAAGAAAGAAAGAAAGAAAGAAATAAGAAAGAAAGAAAGAAATAAGAAAGAAAGAAAGAAAGAAAGAAAGAAAGAAAGAAAGAAAGAAAGAAAGAAAGAAAGAAAGAAAGAAAGAAAGGAAAAGCGCACTCAGAAGGAAAAACAGAATGATCAGAGAGAGATTTCAATCTACAGTATGAGCATCAGTTCTGCTTACCTCCGCATGTCCTCCAGGAGACAGAATCTTACTACATCGTTCACATTTTAGACAGAACCGGTGCCAGTTTTTCCCCAGAGAGCTCACTTTCTCAGCTAGAACAGAAGAGAGTGTAATGTGTTATCTGATTACTGTGTGATACTGTACATAATGCTGAAGAGGATAGCTTGATCTGCACTAATATCTCATTTATACAAAGTCAACAAGACTGCAGTTGTCCTTTAATGATAAACTTCGATTTGGCCATTTTATATCTCTTTTTTATGGCCTCTGTTTTAAGATCCTTGGACAGACATTTTTGCTTAGTTGACCAAAGAATATGTTAAAAAACAGTAAAAACATTGCTGTGCTATCAAAATGTGGCCTTTTCATTTTATATCAATGAATTCAACGTAGGGCTGTGCGATTTAGGGAAAATATCTAATTGTGATTTTTTTGACAGATATTGCGATTTTGTTTCGATTTGATTTGCGATTTAATTGTGTAGTCAAGCTTCAATAATCAATCGTCTGTATTGTAGCTTCTTACTACTAAAATTTTAGTTTTTTATTGTGGGCGTTTCGCATAGTTTGGTTGCGCAATTCTAATTGGGTATAACGAAAGTGTGCTCACTCAATTGGCTAGTAAAACTATCACAAACAGACAACAGTCACGCATTTGTTCTAGGCAGGGGAAATTAAATAATGCATAAATATTTCATTTAGCAGCCTCTTGCGATTAGCTAACCGCAACGTTTCATTACATAAATCGTGATTGTGATTACATTTCAGTTAATCACACGGCCCTAATTTAAAGGAAACAATATTTAAAATACACATTTAGGTTTAAATGTTTGTACCTTTTTCACTAAAAAGAAAAGTATACATTTATTCCGCAAACAAGCAATAAATGCATCAGAAGTGATGGTAAAAACACAAAAAGATTTTTCAAAACAGATTCCACCAAATCAGAAAATTAAATATGCTCTCTGAACCCAACTGTCACAGTCACCAGCAATCTAGACCATGCAGATTGCTGAAGAACTACAAATCTACCAGCAAAAGAACTACATATCCAGTCATGCACCACTCACACACCTTGCCTAGATCCCCATGATTGCAAACAGAGAAAGCTGAAGCTGTTTAGAACTAATTACATTCATCAGGAATATTTATACACCTCTCAAACACACACGTATTGCTGAGTCTTGTGAACATTACAACTTTTTGCCTTGCCTTTCCTTGTTGACCCTCACTTCGTTTTTTTTTTTTTTATGTTGCTTGCTGCCTGCCTGCCTGTACTGACCATTCGCCTGCTTATTGACCACGACTCTGGATTTGCCCATATACATCTGTTTGCTCCTGTGTTGACTGTTGCTTGCCTGACCATTCTCTGCATAATAAACCCTGCATTTGGATCCACACTTCCGTTGTTAGCGTCCACTTCACATTACACCAACAATGCCATTAAGGGTATATATTAAATTTCAACTACAAATATATTAAAACACAAAATATTTTGCAGTATTCAAGTTTTACTGTATTTGTCATCAAATAAATGCAGCCTTGGTGAGCATGACAATTTTTTTACATTTATTTCAAAAGTGTATCTTTTCAAAACATCTATAAGGTAGTTTACAGTACTCAAAATGCTTATTTACATTATTTTATGATATAATTACTGTTACTCTACATTCCAAGATCATTACAGGTCTGTTCAGCTCAGCAACTCCTGAAATGCAGCTTAACACAGAACTGCAATTTTGTGTGTGTTTGTGCATAATATATATCTATACATATATAGATGTTTCTACAAACAGTACTTTACAAGGCTCTGCAAAAGACTGTCCACACAAACTACTAAGTCTTAAGGGTGGGGTCTGTACTGTACTGTATGTGTGTGTTTGCAGCTGAACAATGCAGCATCAAAGCCGAGGAAAGAACAAACTGGAGGCAAACCCTGCTGAGTCAGATCTGCTCCTATCAAGCGGATGTTGAAAAGTGCATCTTGTCTCTGACCTTCTGGTCTTCACAAGCAGTTTTGTGCATAATCGAATAAACAAAAAAAATCACTGATAATTCAGAAGGAAATATACTGATGAAAAAGTAGATATACTACACTTTAAAATTGTATTGGGGGGGTCAACTTTTTGTAGTGTTACTTTGTGTAATACATGTATTGTGTAATACAAGCTATTTGATGTATTCTAGTCTAATTAGCTATTTCAGCTTTAAAGTATACAAACTATGTATCTAATTTGACTTTACTTTTAGGCTTAATGTAGAAACAAATATTTTATGAGAAAACAGTCTTGCGAACTCTTACGATGTCTATCGGTGCTCTAAATCTGCCAGTTTCAGACTGTTGAATGACTTTTTTTTCCCACATAGACTGACTGACACGATAATGCATTCACAATTGTATGAATTGTTAAAGGGGTTGTCAAATGGATATCTATTATTGTAATTATTAGCATTATTTAAAAAACAGACCAGAGTGACCCCTCTAAACCCCCATCTTGTTTTGACTTTTTTTAGAGGAGACCAAGGCTATATATATATAAATTGTGGATTGTGGGGAACTTGAAGTACTTGAATGGTGTGTTTATAAGACTATTATGAATTCTTTATAATCATGACATGATTCATAAATATGAATGAGATTTTATGCATGCATTTGACAACCGTCATTAAGTGTCATTCGTTCACTTATCTAATTTTAAATATTGTTTGAGATTTTGTTGATATGGCATAAACAAAAACATCAGGACCTGTCTTTGTCATGACAATTTGACATAACCAAGACAACATAACTTGTCATAAATATGTCATAAACATGATTATCATGATGCCATTATAATTATCATGAATTTTTCATAAAAAAAAATTTTCTTACAGTGGTACAAATTGAATTTTTCATAAAAATGTCATTTAATGTAATGACGCTGTTATAAAATTATTTGACAGAGTATTGACAACTTTAATAAAATAAATGATCAAAAAAATATTCAAGAAAGTTTTAATGACAATCGTGTTTATAACAGAGTTATGACAAGTTATATTGTCTTTGTAATCTCATTCTGTCAAGACAAAGACATTGACTGGTTTTGATGTCTTGGTGATGTCTATTTGTTATAACAAAGACACCTCAAACCACATCATCTTTGCATTTAAAAGACATAACAGCTAATGACACTTAATGACATTTGTAAATACTGTAGCAGTATGCATAAAAACTCGTTCATGGTCATGGCATGTATCATGTCATGATTTTAAAGGTGTAAAGAGAGTCCTATTAACACCCCTTCAAGTAAAGTGTTGCAAGTTTTCGGTTTCAAGTAATAAATGGAATTTACACAGCACCTTCAACTAAAATAGAAAATATTTAGTACATTTTGGCCATTTGTTTACACAACAACAGTATTTGGAGTTCTGAAAATAAAAAAGCAAAGCTAAAACAAAGAACAGTTCATTTGTTATAATATTTTACAATATTACAGATTTTACCTTATTTTCAACCAAATAAATGCAGCCATTTTCCAACACCAAACGTTTAAATGATCAAGAGTTTATTTCATTTAATGTTTTAAACTTCCATTGCACTAAACAAATTGTTTGCATACATTTACTTATTCTATCGGCTCTTGGAGATCAACAACCACCACCACCAAAAACAAAATCAATAGTTTGCCATTAGCAAATGCACAGTAAACAGTTGTGGACTTTGGAGTACAGAAGTCAGAAATACAAGTGACACAAAGATCAATATCCCACCAAAAAACCCTAATGATAAATAAATTCTATTTTATAATATTTTCTGTACTAATAAAATACCTCACAAAGGAGTTGACAGAGTGGATGTGGGAACTAAACCCACCTCCCCGGTGCCTTCCACACAAACCAGCCAACATTCCTAGTAGGGTCTATCTCTCTCTTTCTCTCTCTCTCTCTCTCTCTCTCTCTCTCTCTCTCTCTCTCTCACACACACACACACACACACATTCCGCCACATAAAAAGAGTCAGGTCAAACTGAGAGCACACAGACACAGACACATTCAGATGTCCAGGCTCATTGGGAATATCAAATAATCAAGCTGACATATCACAACTTCAATGTAGCCAAAAAGAGAGTCACTCCATCTGCTAACCTGCAACAGTAGCACAACAGATCCTCTCACTTTGTTCAAGCCTCCATTGCCAAATTCTTATGTAACACTGTCACCCAATTCTCTTTTCATGGGCTATAGCATTTACTAACCCTGCAGCCACTGGACAGCGGGACAGAATACTAAACAGGAGCCGACAACGATGAGACAGGCTAGGGAACAACCTCCAATGTGCTTGTGGGAGCAACGGGTCACTTGTGCTTGACCTATTAATAACAATGCTTAGTGCTACGAGATAAAAACTCGTCTTCTTCAGACTGACAGATTGGGGTCCCAGAGATGCCCATGCTGTATGCAGGAAAGATAACAAAAGTAACTTTGAAACTAACCTAATATTTTACCCTAAATATTTTTCTTTGGCTCGTTTAAAACTCACTAAATATATTAATTTAATGCTTGCAGACACATACTAGTCATAATAATGCGTGAGGATACTGTGTAAAAATACATAAGATCAATATAGGGGTACTATTAGAGAAGTGTATGTGTACATAAACATAGGAAAATAACATTATTATTTTATAGAAATCCATTGCATGTATTAATATCAATTTCTAAAATCCCAAAAGAAATAGCATCTATGGAGGACTTTAGTTTATAAATTATATACATTCAAACACATAGAGAGAGGGCTATTTTTTGAACAGGATGTTCATTTTAAGAGTCCCCAAAACAAAACATAATTGCTCCATTCACACTACAAACTGACAGACAAAACGCTTTCAAACACTTACATGAATCATGCATAAATTACTTATAATTAAAAATAAATCCTTAACTTTTCTGCATATATTACATACGCCCTTCAAATTTGGTCAATTAGTACAGTAGTGATACAATAACAATTAAATGAACAAGACGTACACTTCTGAGTGATAGCTGTAGAAACATTATTTTAAAAAGCTCACCAAAAAACACAGTCTTATCGCATCTTGGACAAATGGACGTCATTTTCAGGAAAAGTCTGAAGTTCAGCTCTGTTGGTCTGAGTTTGCTGTCTATCCCTCCGCGCCGCTGCACACTGTGTGCAACACAAGTCGCGGCGCGGCGTTTATTTAACTTTAAAGAGTCTCCGTGCTTGTCTCATGAATATTAATCAGGCTGCGTGACGTTCGACCAGTAAACTCTGATTGACGGAAAGGTGGCGAATCCCACTATGGCGACGGAAGGCTTGTAAATATTAATTAGGAAACGCGACTGGATGCTCCAAGGTTACCAAGCAACGTCAGCTTGGCCTATTAATATTTATAACCTTCGCATCAAGCTGCGTGGCACAGTTATACGCCACGCCTTTGGGTTGTCCAATGAGGAATGGTTCTTACACGTCAATCAAAATGACTACATTCCGAGCTATCCATCAGACTCCTGTCCATCAGACTTCTCGGGTTTTTTACCCAAAACTGGTCACTTTCAGAAAGTTTTTGTTCGATTTGTATTAAGGTTTAAACATTCATGGACTTTGGTATTTCGTTTCAATAACATTTGAGCAATTCCAGTTATGAATGTGAAATTAAAAACTCAAAACATAAATTCACATAGAAAGTTTATGTTAACTTTATATTAAAATATCTGCTTTTATTTTCTAAAAAAAAAAAAAAAAAAAAAACTAAGCACAGAGTTATGAGATCAGAAACATATCGAGCTGTAAACATTTTTTAGATTTTAAATAAGTAAAAATAGTAATTCTAATCAAAATGATAAGAGTTGTCTCACTAAAGAAGAAATATGATTGATTTAACAGTTTTGCATTTATAAGGAAAAAGCTTTGTTATAGATGTGACATCTCTCGGTAATGGATGTGACGGATGTGAAATTGGCACTTTGTGTGAATTTAGTAAATCAAAAATAATTGTTTGAAATCATTGGCCGACACATTTTTAAGAATTTTTACAGTTCTATAAAATACAAGGCAAACAACATAAAAAAGATTTTGCTATTTTGGTGAAAACCCTAATTTTATATGGGAAAGTTGACATTTATATGGAATTGCTAATTTCTTCTTTTTTAACTTATGAAATTTCCTACTAAAAAGAAGTGTGTAAACAAACTTTTGTGTTTATTACATTTGTAGGTTTTAATTAAAATGTATATATTTGTAGCCCATAGTCTCTGAATAATGTGACTTCTGCACTAAACTTTACTAATTATAGCCTATAGCCTATTTTATTCTATTTTAACAATTTATTTATTATAACTGTTTTACTCTACATTTTGTAGTTTGGTTTTATTTGTTTATTGTTATCATTTAAAAAAAACTATTTACAGTTTTTTTTTTACTTTAAATCTAATATGTTAAATTAATAAAAGTGGGATTTTCTACCTGGCTTTATGTAAATGAATGTATTTGGTTAGATTATGCCTTATTTGCATATTTAAACAGTCAAGCAGTTAAATAAAGCAGTTGCTTTAATGTGGTGAGATGGATGCCACTTGAGATAGATTCTTATTGTCTGTCAGCATTTCGTCACCTTGGAATTAAAAGGTTCTATCTGCATTCTCAAAGATTTTGAGATAATGAGCTTTAAAGTTTTTGCATTCCCAGCAAACAGTATGTGTGTAACATTTGTTTTTTTAAATAAAAAGTCTTAAAATGTAAACAACTTATAAAAAAAATTACATAATGTAAATAAGTTGTCATTTATTGGGAATATGTGAATAACTCAGTTTTGACAAAAATGTCAGATAGAACCTTATAATTCTAAGGTGACGATTTCTACTGTTTATCAGCTTAAAATATATTTTGAAAGTGATCTACATCATTAATATATGTCAAACTCAGTAAGGGCTCATTCAAAAAGATTTTTAAGCCTTTAAGTCTAATTGCTAGTTCCTCCTTCACTGTAAAAAAGTTGACTCAACTTAAAATTTCAGGACATTTTTGAGTTTACTTAAATCGTGCAGTAACTCAAAAATGTCATGAAGTTTGTTGCCTTAAAATTTTAAGTTAAGTCTGTTCCTTGTTCTTTGATAGTTCACAAATTCTGTAATCAGTTACTCATCCTTTCTTGGTTTTCTTCTTCTGTTGAACACAAAATCAAGATGCTCAAGAATATTGAAAAAATAAACAACTATTAATTTTTTTAAAGTATTTTCTTTTTATAACAATTGATATCAGTGGCTGCTTTTCAAAACATTCTTCATAATATCTTGCTTTGTGTTCAACTGAAGAAAGAAATTCATACACATTTAAAACCACTTGAGTGTGAGTGGTAAGGTAATATACATTTTTTAGTTAAACTCCCTTTAATGGGTCTTAAATATGTTTTTATTTTTTAATGACCGCATTAAACAGACCAAAATTTCACCATTTACTTACCATCATTTTGCTTCAAATATGTATGACAGTTTTTCTTCCATGGAATATGAAAGGAGATATTACACTGTTTTGAAAGTTAGCAATTGACAGCCTCAAGCAACATTCACATTTTAAATACAATGAATGGTGTTACTGTGTGAAAGGCTCTTATTCCACTTAACATCTCCTTTTGTAATCCGCTGAGCAAAGAAAAACATACTGTATGGGTTTGGAGCAACACAGGAATGAATAAATGATGACAGATTTTTCATTTATAAATGAACTTTGTTAAACCCAAACAATGTTATGCTAATGTTTACTGGAACAGAAACTCTTTTAATCTGCGCTCTTGTTCATTCTTTCGACTGTTTACAGTAAAGATATTGTAATTAAACTGATGCATGTGTATGATGAAGAAACCTTCAGCTAGCATCACCACTGAGGTAATGGATGATGTCATGCTGGTGTCCTCGGATGAGGTCATGGGTCACCGCATGAAAGCAAGGCATCAATGGTACCAGTTGTACCAACATAGTCCATTACATAATCAACTCACAGTTCATAAGCGTTATACACTCAAATGTGGAGTTTAATGGCAATCATTTTAAATTCAAAATCATGCACCTATGCACAAATGTAAGTAACGTAAAAAAAAAAAAAAAAAAAAAAAAAAAAAAATATATATATATATATATATATATATATATATATATATATATATATATATATATATATATATATATATATATATATATATATATATAATTTTTTTTATTTTATTTATTTATTTTTTTTGCTTGATTTTTAAGTTGACTTGATTTAGGTACTAAGTTATGGATAAAATATGATTTATTGATAAATAATTGTTTTTTACCTACATTATCACACAAAGGTTATCAAATCTTATATACTGTTATCTGATATGGCAGTATATGCAAATCACATACATGACACAAAAGTTTATATAGATTTCAAAGCCATATATGCAAAATATAATTAAAAATATTGCAAAAATGCCATTTAACAAATTTTCTTTAACCGTTGGAATATACATGTAAATATGTATGTTCAAATATATCAAAAATAATTATATATAGTACATTTATATTATATGTGTGAATTGGGTAAGCTAAATTGTCTGTAGTGTATGTGTGTGTATGAGTGTTCATGGATGTTTCCCTGTGATGGGTTGCAGTTGTAAGGGCATACACTGCATAAAAGATGTGCTTGGCAGTTTATTTCGCGGTGGCAACCCCTGATTAATAAAGGAACTAAGAAAAGAAAATGACTGAATAAATGAATACACAAACCATAAACCTTACTGAAATATGCTTGTTGCTAGCAGCCTTACCAATAACCATTTCTGGACTGATGCTTTTACTGTATGATAGCGCCCCCTTCTGCTTAAAAACGTAAACATGGGAAGTTTTTACGTAAACAAGGAATTTGTTTTATGTAGGAACAACGAAAGATCATTTAAAATAACCTAATTATTTAATTAACGATTTTAAATGAGATTTTTATGTATTTACCTTCGAGTCTTCTTAAACGTAGGCCTAGGTCACTGTTTCAGAACAACAAGTTTTCAGTTAAAACCGCATTGATTCCTTGTTGATTCATAAAGTGCAAGTCAACCAACTACCATCTTTTTGAGAATAAAAAAATCAAAAAACAAAAACAAAACAAAAACACAAGCAACACTAAATTAATATTATAGGTATAATAAAAAATAGTTACACACTCTCACCACTAGATGACATACGCATCATAGTTTTCTGCAGTGCACACTGGGCGATTGGTCTGTCTGTGGTTCACTATTCAAAAAAAGGCTGTGGTTTTCCACTGTTCCTTACATCCTTTTGATGTATTGGGTAGTATCCAATAACTTCATCTGTTATACTTTTTATAAAATCTGCAGTTTACATAATGTATGCATAAATATTTCAGAATGATGCCACTATAGCTGACAAGAAGAGTTATGTTAAACAAAATGAAGCTTAAACAGACCAAGTGTTTGCTCATGCTGTACCATGGACATTCTGGCAGTATTGGCAAAGTTTATGGGTGTATTCATAACAAGCCTGATTCCTGACTCTGTTTGTGCCAGCTCATGGCTGTGTGCCATGCATGACATACACCGAAAGTTTGTGATGTCAGTCGACTTTGTTGTGTGCACAGCAAAAACACCCTGATAGAATTTCATGACATTTTGTTTTTCTTCCTTTAAACAGTTTGAGCAGCTGTAAATGTTACATAAATCATTTTCATGTACAAAAACGTACATTAGTTTTTACTTTGCCATATATCTTGTGTCCAAACACAATTACATTACTATTTAAAGGTCAGTAGGATTTATATATCAATGCTGAAACATATCTGACAAAATAGAAATACATACTGCTACATTGTTACATGATCCCTAAGAAATGTTGTAATAGACTTTGGAGTAACATTTCTAAATATTTACAATGGTAAGACATTGTGCTGCTTAATATTTTTGTGAAATTTGTGAAGAGCAGTGATTTGAAATTGAAACCTAATTCTCTAACAATAAAAAATGTATGGTATTTTTTGTAACTTTTTCAATTTATTACATCCTTGCTGAATGGAAGCTTTATATTATTTAAACAAACAAACAAACAAACAAACAAACAAACAAAACAGTACCAGTAACTGCCATTAATGCCTTTTTTATGTACCAGCAATTTTGTAATATTTTTCAGATGTTTTGTTTCTTATTTTTATTTGTTTCAGGTGCAAATGTAT